GGCTGGCTTCCCTCCTTTTCCTTCCTTTTGAAAATCAAAACAAATGCAACAAGGACAGCTGTAATAGTAAATGAATGGCATGTATAGAGAAAACAAAAGGATTTCCTAATAAAGGGGTGGAAGGAAATAGTTCCTCTGTTGTGGGTGAGGCCCTCTGCACTGAGTTTGGTGGGCTGTGTTGAGCATCTGGCCAAGGGGTGCTAGTACCTGGGATGACCCTGTGGCTGCTGGGAGATTGTTTTTTTTTTTGGTGGGGGTGGTTGAGGGTCATGTAGTGTAGTTCAGGCTGGCATGGAATTCAGTGATACTTTACCTTAGCCTCCCAAGTGCTGGGATTACAGGGGGCTCCAGTATGTCTAGCCTGATTTTTTGTTTTTCTGAGACAGGGTCTCTACTATACAATGCACATTGGCTTTCAACTCACTATGTGACTCAGGATGGCCTTGAACTCATGGTGATTCTCCTGCCTCAGCTTTTTATTTTTTTAACATTGTTTTTTTTTTAAATTTTATTTATTTATGTGTGTGTGTGTGTGTGTGTGTGTGTGTGTGTGGCCAGCTCAGCCCACCAGGGGGCGGGACTGGCTGGCATGTGGTGCTGGGGGATTGAACCGTGGTCCCTGTGCTTTGCCAAGCTTGTTCTAAGTAAGTGAACAAGCCATCTCACCAGCCCCTGCCTCAGCTTTTTAAATGCTGAAATTACAGGTGTATTTTTTCAACATTAATACCAAAGCAGGCGTTGGTAGGATGGATGACCTAAAAGGATTTGGAGACATGTAGTTTAAACCTCTTATGTTAATGAGGATGTAGCTCAGAGGCACAGCGCCTGCTTGGCAAGTGCAAGGTCCTGAGTTCCAATTCAGGTACCAAACCCTTCATATTTCAAATGAGGAAGAGGAGACTCAGTTGTCTAGAGACCCTGTGAAGTCATGTGGATAGCTGAAGAAAGGAAACATTCTTGAATTTAACACGTGTGCTTCCATTGTAGTTCTCTGTACATTTATCTAGAAAACCAGGGTGTGACTTAAGGATATAAATAAACCCTTCCTGTGTCTGAGCACTGAAACCTCAGTAAGGCTGACTGTGTAAGTGCAGGTTTGTGGCCCTATCTGAGAATCCAGAGTCCTGTCCCTACTTTAATTTGTCAGATCTGAGCCCCACGGAGGAACCGGGCTTCTTCCCTGCCCCTATTTAATTAGATCCCTCCATCCTTACTTCCTTCGCCCCATCAGGGCACTTGTCCATTTACTTGGTTTTTTATTTTGAAACAAAGTCTTGCTAAATTGTCCAGGCTGGGCTCAACCTTGGGAGCCTCCTGTCTCAGCCTCCCGGAGCACTGGGATTACAGGTGTGTGCCACATTGCCTGGCATCCTTGTTCCCTTCTGAGGGGGTGCATATCTGTCCTCCTCAGTCTTCCTGGTGTTGGGCAAGAGCACAGTGCCCACCTCTAGTCCTGAAGTCTGAGTTTCTGAGAAGAGCCGTGAGCGGGGCAGGGCCACGAAGCGTGGCAGACTGGGTGTGAGGAATGGCCATTCCCATCTTCTCCCCTTCTCCTCCTCTTCCTCTCCTTTTGGTTCTGTGTGCAGAGGTCAAGTTGGACTGCACCTATTCTGGCTTCAGTTCCCCCCGTGTGGATTGGAAGTTTGTTCACAGAGACAGCACCAGACTCGTTTGCTATAACAACAGGATCTTCTGTGAGTCACCCAGTGTGTGGAGGAGTTGATCCTGGATGCCAGGGGTGGGCTGTGGGCCAGGGCTGCAGTCTCAATGGCTTTCCCCTTTCCCTTTCTGAGGAAGGAGAGGGTGCCTGCGTCCCTTGGGTGCCACCTTTACCAGCTTTTCTCACATCTTCACTTCACCCTTTCTTTGCGTTCTTCCCCTGGTAGCTTCCTATGAGGACCATGTAACCTTTTCACCCAGCGGAATCACCTTCAGTGCGGTGACCTGGGAAGACACAGGGATCTATATGTGTATGGTCTTTGAGCTAAATGGCAACAGCTATGGGGAGGTCCACATCCAGCTCCTTGTGCTTAGTATGTGCCACATCACTTTCTTCCCTTTGGGCCTGGGGACAGCTGCTTCCCTAAACCCCAAGCAGATTGCTATGCTTTGGGACTCATCGATGGTGACAGTATCTATTGGAAGTTAGGGGGATAAGACAGGGTGGCTCAAGCAGATAGGATGGGGTCCCCATGCTTGGTTTAGCAGCTTGCTTGCTTTCTTCTCTTCCTCCCCATTGCCACATCCAAGCCACAGCATCCATTCCTCTGCCACCACTGGTGACAGGACAGTACCACAAAGAACAGACAGGCCAGTGAGCAGCTGAGGTGTACGCAGAGGTCTGAAGCCAGGGAGGACAGGCAGGGTTCCACACGGGGCCTTTTCTTTTGTAGGAGTGTTTCTTGATTTTTTTTTTCCCCGCCTTTCTTTCTCTCCCTCCTTTCCTCTTCATTTTTTCCTTTTTTCTTCAAAGATAAAGGTGGCCGTGAATAGTGGCACAGACCTGTAATCCTAGCACTTGGGAGGCTGAGGCAGGAGGATAGCTGCAAGAACACCCGCTTGGGTTACAAAGTGAGCTCCAGGCCAGCCTTAACTACATTGCCAGACTGTGTCTTAAAAAGACAAACAACAACAACAACAAAAACTCTATTAAAAATATAAAAGTGTTCAGAGCCACAGTTGTCTGTTTTGTCTCATTTTCCTCCTTTTCTGGGCTCCAGGGTAGAGGGAGGGAAACATTACCTTTGGCCCTGAAAGGCTGTGAGTAGTAGGGTGGGGTGCGGCTCCTGAACTCCACCCAAAGTCCTGTTGCCTGTGGCAGAGCAAGGTATCATTTCCTGACCGAGCCTAGATCCCTCAGGTGGCCACAGAGAGGCTTTGGGAACAGGTGCGGCAGGAGCCTCGGGCGGTGCCTTGCTTCCGGTTCCGGTCCTGGCTCTGGGAGAAGGGGACGATGCTGCGGGCTCCCAATCGTTGGGCTGCTGCGCTCCTGCAGCTCGCGATCACTGCAGTCCCTGCGCGCATGATGACTGCAGGTACCTCCTAGGGAACCTGGGCCCTCAGCAAGCCGCCTGAGACCAGGTGGAGGAGGAGCGGGAGGCGTGGCCATGGCGCTCCCTCACCCCCACCTGGCGCAGGAGCTCCGCAGCCCCTTCTCATGAAGGCTCGCTCCCCCTCTTCAGGGCCCACAGTCTCACTCCCTGAGCTCAGGTCGCTTCTGGCTTCCGGCCGGGCCCGGCTCTTCGATGTGCGGTCTCGGGAGGAGGCGGCAGCGGGGACCATCCCCGGGGCACTCAACATCCCGGGTATGGGGTCCGGAGGGCGCGCGGTGTTGGGGCACAGTCAGTCGAAGAAGGTCTTGGCTAAGGGGTCCCCGACTTCGGGTGGCGATGGGGGCCAGGAGGGTTGTATTTCCTCTGTTCCCGTGGCTGGCGCTCAGCTTCCCCACGAAGGGCTGGCTAGAGGGAGGTCCTGCAGCACAACAGGCCTGTCTGGTTTGCGGGGAGCAGGGGGCAGCCACGCCACTTGACCTCCTCCAGGCCCGTCCACCGGGTGCTCCGCAGCCTCCTAGCGGCCCACCGGGGAGGCGACTCGCGTTCAAAGCTGGTTTGCTGACTTCCTGCACAGCCTGGCTGCTTTTGCCCTGGAGATTAGGATGCGGGGAGGTGACCACCATCTGTCGTTTGGGGTCCCTGGAGATGCGTTGCACCGCCAGCCCCAGCTCTGGCCGGCCCAGCCCCTAACCTGGGAGTGCCAGGGTTGCCATGGCTGGCTGTGTTCACCTTTCACCTCCTGGGCCCTGTCCCAGTGTCCGAGTTGGAAAGCGCCCTGCAGATGGAGCCCGCTGCGTTCCAGGCTGTGTACTGTGCTGAGAAGCCCAAGCTGGACGACGAGAATCTTGTCTTCTTCTGTCAGATGGGCAGGCGAGGCCTCCAGGCCACACAGCTGGCCCAGAGCCTGGGCTACACGGGGTACAAGCGGTGCTGGTCGGGGTGCCTGGGGCCCTCTCGCCAGCCGGGCTGTCCGCCCTCACCCTCCTTTGCCTCCACAGGGCTCGAAACTATGCTGGGGCCTATCAGGAATGGATGGAGAAGGCTGGGTAGGCGGCAGCTGGTTGCTGATGGCCTCTCCCCTGGCCACCTGCAGAGGAGGCTTGCTGGCTGTGCCCTGGGCTGGGCAGCTGGGCAGCTCCTTGTAGTACCTTACACCTGAGTGTCAAATAAAGAGCCTTAATTAAAGCACTGGAAGTACTTAATTTCAGGTGGATTGAAAATGGTTCTTCTTTTGTTGTAGACCTGCGCTCAGCCCTAGAGCATTTCTTATTGCAGGGTTCATGTGCCCTACTCCACTGTCCAGATGGGAGCAGTGTGCAGAGATTGCAATGGTGGAAGAGGTGTCCTCAGCCCGGGGTGCCTGTTGTATTTGCCTACAAGCTTCAAAACTTAAAGAAAAACCATTGGACTGGGGCAGTGGCTAGGATTTTATCCCCCTCCCACACACTGGAAAGTCACAGGAGGGGATGGCTTGAGTTCAGAGTTTTGGAGCTCGCCTCCATGCCACTTGAAGAACCCATCTCAGGAAAAATAAAATATCTGTGGCCCCCTTCCCGAATGTGGCAACTGCTGCTGCTCTAGACCTGAACCTGACCCTAAATGTCTCCTTCTGTGACTTGCTTTATTTAATGATTCATTTACCTGGCAGGGTTTTTCTGTGTAATGCAGGCTGGCCTTGACCTCACTGTGCTCCTCCCGCCTCAGCCTCCCAAGCACTGGCTTTACAGGAGTGTGCTGACATGCTTGGCTGCTCCATTTCTGTATTGTCCACAGTGCTGTCAAGCAAAATGGCAGAGTGGCTGCCCCACAGACTATGCTCTAAACCCTAAAACTGAGTCTGAGGCATCAGAGGACATGTTTGCCTGCCATTCTTGTACACCAGTGATGGTGAACCTCTTCAAGACAAGTGCCCACACTGCCACCCAAACACACTTATTTATTGCCAAGTGCCAGCTCTGCATTTAATCCCGAATCTTGGGGTGTTGCTTTAGGGAAATCAACTCCTCACACGGCTCAGGTTCTGACAGAGGGCTCTGTGTGCTTGCTGCAGCACACCTGCCGAAGGTCAGGGCCCCTGCTGGACCCCTAGCTCCTCAGCCCCAACCTAACATTGCTCGGGCTCTGGCCTTGGGTGGAGGAAAGGAAAAGGAAATCCCAGGCCTTTGGGTGAGGGAACTGATGACCACTGTATGGCGTGAGGAGCCACCTCAAACAGGGTCTGTTTTAAATCACCTTTCTCATTAAAAAAAAAAAAAAAAAAGTTGTTTACAAAAAAGACACTAGAGATGCAACTCAGTGGAAGAGCATTTAGGGATGAAGGTTGAGGAGACGAGGGAGGGTGAGGGGAAGGAGGAAGAAAAAGCAAATGCTTAAACTAATTTCTATACTATTTGACAGTGTACATGTGCCTTTTAGTATGGTGTGCAAGGGCTAGGGATTTAGCTCAGTGGTAGCACCCTTACCCTGCAAGTGGGAAACCCTGGGTTTGGTCCTCAGCACCAATAAAAAAATAAATAAATAAAATAAAGGCTTATAATTTTTTTTGTGTGTGTATGTGTGTAGTTTGATGTGTGTCCTTTGAAGTTTTTTGTTTTTTTACTTTTAGGGAAGAGTCTACAAGGTGTTCAGGGTCTCCCTACTAGATCGGACTCACAGTGATCTGCCTGCTTACAGCCTCCCAAGAGCTCAGATTACAGGTGGGGGCCAGCATGCTCAGTTTCAATCGCTGGCTCAGCGTGCCCTAGGGGCGGGGCCAGCACGGCAGGCTTGGGGATTGAACCTGTTGGCAGGTGCTTTAATCTGCTGAGCTATTTGGCTAGCCCATAAGTTTTTTAGTTGTTTTGTTTGTGCTTTAAGACAGTGTCTCACTGTGTTGTTTACACTGGACTTGTGCCCTGTGTCGTTCAGGCTGACTTTGACCTCACAGTGATGCTCCTGCCTCAGCTTTCTAAGGACTGGGATTACAGGTGTGCATCATCACACCTGTCCAGAGTTTTTTTAAGTTTTTGAGATAATGTCCCATGGTGTAGTTTAGGCTGTCTTGAGCTCACTGTGTGCCCAGGTTGGCCTCATGTTGGCATGGCAGGCATTCACCACCATGCCTACTTCAGACCTTTTACTCTTTGAATGGCAGAATTTTCAATACTGAAGTTTTATTTTTAGCAATTGAATTCCTTCTTCTGTGGAAGAGAACGCTGGCTTAGAGGGGGAACCCATTTTCTGTCTTTTCAAGTTGCCCAAGCAATCCTTTCCGACATTTCTTGCATTCCTTGCCATTTTCTCCCCCTCTCTTCTGCTGGCTGCCTTCAGGACAGGAGCCCGTTCTCCTCCCTCTTGTACCTCACAGTCAACACTCAGGCCTTCAGTCACCCAGTGCTCGAGTGTCACAGAACTGTTTCACATTCTTTCTGTGCTGCTCTGAGTTTAGCTGGAGCTTGTAGGGCTGAAGATAAAGGAGAAATACTATCTGTGAAAGTAGCCCAGAGCCTAGTAGATTGCAGTTTCCCTTTGTACAAATAACTAGATCCCTGGTTCTCAGGTTGGGAAAAAAAATTTTTTCCCCTGGGGGCTAATTCCCCTCTTTGTTTTGATTCTGATCTAACCTACTTTTCTTTTTTCTTTTCTGTCTTTTTTCAGACAGGATATCTGTGTAATCAATCCAGCCTGGCCTGGAGCTCCTGGAGACCCTCCTGCTTCATCCTCCCAAGTGCCAGGATTACATTTGCGTACCACCATGCCTGGGCTCTTCTTCAGTCGTTATTACAGTTTCGGAAGTTTCTTTTTATTTTTTATACAGGATCACGCTGTCTTCAGGCTGCTCTTGATCAAAGGATATAGTCAGGCTGGCTTCAAACTCAGCATCTTCCTAGCTCAGTCTCCCAAGTGTGGGATCACAGGTGTACCCACCACGACTAAGTATTGAGGCCACTGGGCTTTGAGGAGGCTCTCTCATAACCACTTAGTGAAAGAAGATATGGAATGTTAAAGTACCCAGATAGTCCCATCTTCTGTCACCAGATTTGTCTTCTCTATGCTGATGTGCATTTTTGCTTTACAGCTAGAGGTTAGAGAGGACCCTAGAAGCACCCTGATGTGCCCTCTGGTGGGATCACTGTTGAGACAACATTCCTTTTTCTCCCTCATTAACCATTCGGTTCATAACCCATAGGCTGTTCCAATCCAGTAGCTTTCAGAATTCTCTTTCCCTTTCCTCTTGGCTGAGTATTTCAGCGGGTGGGGCTCAGGCCAGAGCTTCCCTGCTAGACTCACTAAAGGCACTGTTCTTGTCCTTATTGATTTGTTTTTGGTAGCAAGGATTGAACCCAGGGCCTTTGCTCAGAACTACATTGCCAGCTTTTTAATTTCTAGTACTATTATTAGCAGTACCTGGGCTCGAACTCAGGACCTTGCACTTGCCAGGCAGGTGCTTATGCCACTGAGCTATCTCCCTGGCCCTTTATTTGTTATTTGGGCACAGGGATTCACTCGGTTGCTGAATTGCCCAGGCTGGGCTCAGTTTTCCTTTCCTCCTGCTTCGGCCTCCCCATGTGCTGGGATCTTAGGCCGGTGGCAGCGCACCGCCTTTCCTGTGCCTTTTTCTGTCTTCCTCTTCACACTAAACCACAGGTTTAGTCTCGGCAGGGGCTTTGAGCACTGTGTGGTCTCTTGCTGGAGTCGCCCTGCCTCTTCAAAGCTCTCTTTCCCTGCCCTCCGCCCTCAGCTCAGTCCTTTAGTGTCCTCAGCAGACCCACTGCTGACACTGCCCCTTCACTTACCCTTCTGGTTGGGAGGTCATCGGTAGCCTCCGAATTTCACAAGAATGAGAAGAACGTATTTGGCCAGAGACTTACTGTTCTCATCAGAAGGGCTTTTAAACTCAAGAAGAGAGAAAAAGAACAGATACATTTATGTAACTGGATTCCATGAAGGACACAAGATGCAGAACATGGGATAGAGCAGCACCGTGTTGTCACTTGCGTTCCCCTTTCCGTGAGCTGGGTAAGGAGAGGTGCTGTTTACTGCAGCGTGGGAAGTGAGGAAACCAGAACCAGGCATTAGGAAATACTCAGTAGATGAGCTTTTATTGAGTCATTTAGTAATTCCCACAGAAAAGCTCAAGGACGTCATGGGTGGTAGCGAATTCTTGTGGACAGAGTAGTAACAGTTGTGAAGCCATGTCTGGTGGTGCACACCTATACCAACACTCTGGGAAGCTGAGGCAGGAGGACTGCAAGTTCCAGCCCAGCCTGATAATTGAGTAAGTCCAAGGAAGTAGGTAGGACCAAGACTCTCAGTTCATTCCCCAGTACTATACAAACAATCAAAGAACAAAACAACAATATAAAAAGGGTCATGATTCAGAGTTCTTAGTTCCAGGTTTTTTGGGGGTTTTTTTGTGCAGGGTCTCACTATGCAGCTTGGACTCCTAGTTATCCTCCTGTTATCAGCCTCCCGAGTGCTGGAATTATGCGTGTGCGCTACTGTGCCTGGACTTGGTGAGGGGCTCAGTGTGCCTGGGGGGCTGGTACAGCATGTGGTGCCAGGGATAGAACCCTCACCTCTGCATTTGCCTAAGCAAGTGTTTAGTCCATTGAGATATCTCACCAGCCCTTTAATTCCAGTTCTGATTTATGCAAATGAGTAGTTGTTAGAAAGTACTTTTAAACAATTTCAACTTTTGTTTTCCTTATTTTGTTAGTATTTCTATATGAAATAGTAAATCATGCCTCTTGGAATTGATAGTATTGTAAGAAGGGATGAATATGCAAAGCATAGATCCAAGAAATGAACTCTAAACCACAAAGATGTAGGTTTTGTTTCCTGAGATGGGATTTCACTGTACAGTCCAGGCTGGCTTTAGTATGGTATGTAGTCTGTACTAGCCTTAAACTTGTAATCCTCCTGCCTCAACTTCCTAAGCACTTGGACTATAGATATATACCACCCTGCCTGGAGAAAGCAGATTTTTAAAATTCAAGGTGCCAGATGTGGTGGCAGGTGCCTGTAATTCCAGTGCTCTGGGAGGATGAGGCGAAAGGATTACAGATTCAAGGCAAGACCGATGTGGTGGATGAGTGCTCTCCTGGGCCAGGCCTAAGCTGCACCAGGCGAGGGAAGGACATTCATGGCGAATGTGACCTCTCTTCTGGTTCTGTCTGTGGGCCCCTCACTTCTCTGTCCCGCTCCTCAGGGAGAAAAAAGAAAAAAAAATCAAGGTGAGCCTGGACTATATGGCAAGATAATATAAAATAAAATAATAAGTTAAGTACCAATGTCCCTGGCATTCTGAAATGTTTTCTTTTTTTGACTTAGGA